CAATCTGCATCTGTCACTACCTCCACGACATGTTGTGTTCCAAACGGCATCGCACTGGGGTCTCAGGCTCATCTGGATCTACTCCATCCCACTTCTGTTTCAACGTTTTACCAGGCACTGTCCTCTGCAACACAATCGGGATCACGGGGTACAACTTGATGTATTTCACAACGTGACGCAGGAGGCCAAAGTCCGAACTAGTAGGCGAACTACCTCTTGAAGACAACACCTTCACAATGTACTGCAAGTCCGGTCTCTCTGCACTCATGTACATGAGGATGCCCACGCATCTCTTGTACACATGGAGGTGCTCTGCATCTACGCTTTCTCCTTCCCCTGGGGCAGGTACTTTCGGAGGGCTTGGGTTCTGTTTCCCATGGGCCTTTTCCAAACCAAGGATTGACTGCAAGCGCTCGGCATACTTGGTGTCTTGGATCACTTCGATGGAGCCACCAAACCCTTGAAACTTCTTCTTCAGAAAATGCGAACAACCACCATCCAAACTGACGGGACCATCCACCTTCACTTTCAAGCCTTCTGTCTTGAGTTCGTTCGCGAGCTTCATGGGAACCCCTTTCGAAGCCAAGATCTGCAAGTCATCGACATGGCTGTTGAGGGCTAAGTCCTGAACCTTGCCAAACAACGAGGGATTGCCATCAAAGCTCTTGAGGTCATGCTCCTTGAGAATGTCAAGGAGGTGTGTAAACCAATCTTTGACCCCTGCTCTCTGTCCCGGAAGATTATAGCAAAGTTCGAGGTCACCGATGTGCGTTTGAATGAACATAGGTCTCCGCTGTTTTACTTGCAAGTAGGCGTCGGTGATATCCAGGGATAACAGCTCCAGTGAACTGTTCCCTGCAGCCAAACACGCAAGGAGCTTATGACTTGAAGCAACAGAAGCTGGGCGTCGGTCAAAGAGGGCTCCAAGAAGCGGTATTCTTTAGCAACGAGTCGAGCTCTACGAACCCAGCCATTCCGGTACCGCCAATCCAGTACATACTTGCATTGCAGACGAACTTTACCTTCTCTATCACGCTCACCATTCATAGGCTGCAGCACTTTCACGCCAAGGAGGCGGTCGAGCTCTTTGAGCTCCATCTGGCGGTCGAGCTCGAGGAGAACCTCAGGTTCAAGTTCAGGAGGGCCCTGAGCATACTCTCGACCTTCCCAAGACATACCTTTATCTCCTCGCTCCGGCTCGGAGTTCGTGGGGAACTCGCTCTCACTCTCAGATTCCTCCTGCAACTCTGGTTCCAAGCTTTCTTCGGGATCACATACCGCAGCTTCTTCTTCATGGCCGTGCGGTTGGTCTTCTCTGACAACAAAAAGGATGCACTGTCAGACCTCGTGCAGTCGGAAACGTTTCGGCTGGAGGCTGCTTAGAGGATCGTCTGATCCGGTAGAATGGTGCCCAGGACAGGTCAACAAAACTTTAAGGGTGCTGTGAATCAGCCCTCCTGTGCAGACTGCCGCTTGACCTTTGCCTGGAACCGGCATTTCGGCCCATAAAGGCCGCTTGAAGCAAAAGCTACTTTGTCAAAACCGAAAAACGTGAGCTATTGCGCGATCTTTTTGCACTCCGCGGTTGTCATATTATATATGCACAATGTACACACACATACGCCCTATTATATATGTACAATGTACACACACATACGCACATAAACGAGGCACCAAAATCTAGGTCCGGTGTTCGTTGCGCCGACCCGACCCGATTCGGGCGTCCCCACCATCCGCTTCCAGATTCGGCCTCCGCCGATCTGCAATCGTGCTATATCCGTTCGTACCTTGCATCCGATCCGCGCGATCTGATTCGGGCGACCACCACATGCTTGGAATGGGTGTAGCGTGGACATGAGGTTTGGTTCCAAATCTAAGATTCGGCAACCTTGTCATGTGGGGCCGGCGGA